CTCTGCGTCCGTCCACTGCTCCTCTGCGTGCCCCTTTGCCTTCTCCTCCTGAGTCCTCTCTTCCTGCTCTTCCTGACCCGGAGTCGGACTCTCTTCGTGCTGCCAGTCCTACTGTCACGCGTCTCCTTGCTACTGTTGTCACTGACCCTTCCTTTGAGTCCACTGCTGCGTCTGCCCTAGTTACTGAGCTCGTCGACTTTGCTGCTCGCTGTCGTCTAGACTACGCTGCCAGTCTTGTTGCTGAGTCTGAGTCTGTCTGTCCTCCGTCCGTCGGGGGTGAGTGTGCCCTTGGCACGGACGTCCTTGAGGACAGGCAGGAGGAGTTCCAGTGTTTAGCTGCTGCTTCACCTCATCTCGTGTCCGTACTGCTTACCCCTGAGGGAGACCCGGATGCACTTGACATCCCGACTCCGCGCTCTTACGCGGAGGCGATAGAGGGTCCCTACTCCTCTCAGTGGCAGGCAGCTATGGACGCAGAGATGGCTTCCTGGAAGTCCACAGGCACCTACGTTGACGAGGTTCCCCCGCCTGGGGCGAACATCGTCAGTGGCATGTGGATTTTCAGGGTGAAGCGGCCGCCGGGTTCTCCGCCTGTCTTCAAGGCGCGTTACGTGGCTCGTGGCTTCAGTCAGTGGCAGGGAGTTGACTACTTTCAGACCTTCTCTCCCACCCCGAAGATGACCACTCTTCGGGTACTGCTGCACATAGCTGCTCACCGCGACTACGAGCTGCACTCTCTTGACTTCAGCACTGCTTTCTTGCAGGGCAGCCTGCACGAGGAGATCTGGCTGCGTCGCCCACCTGGCTTCACTGGGTCTTTTCCTCCTGGCACCCAGTGGAGCCTCCGGCGGCCAGTCTACGGTCTCCGCCAGGCACCGCGTGAGTGGCACGACACACTGAGGACTACACTTGCGGCTCTTGGGTTTGCTCCCTCTACTGCCGACCCGTCGCTGTTTCTGCGCACCGACACTTCTTTGCAGCCGTTCTACATCCTCGTGTACGTCGACGACTTGGTCTTTGCCACAGCTGACACTGCTGGACTCGCCCACGTGAAGTCCGAGCTGCAGAAGAGACACACGTGCACAGACCTGGGTGAACTGCGCAGCTACCTTGGCTTGCAGATCACCCGGGACAGAGCACGCCGCACCATTACCCTGACTCAGTCACACATGGTGCAGCAGGTCCTTCAGCGCTTCGGCTTCACGTACTCCTCGCCTCAGGCCACTCCTCTGCCTACTCGCCACTCGCTCTCAGCTCTGCCTTCGGATGAGTCCGTAGAGTCGAGTGGCCCGTACCCAGAGCTTGTTGGCTGCCTCATGTACCTGATGACCTGCACACGACCTGACCTTGCATACTCTCTTAGCATTCTTGCACGCTATGTTGCTCCTGGGAGACACAGACCGGAGCACATGGCTGCAGCGAAGAGGGTGTTGCGCTACTTGTGCAGTACGTCGGGCATGGGGCTTGTGCTTGGAGGGCAGAGTCCAGTGGTCCTCACTGGACACGCAGGCGCTTCTTGGGCTGACGACCAGGCTACGCAGCGGTCGTCACAGGGTTACACCTTCAGCCTTGGTTCCGGCTCTGTTTCGTGGCGGGCTACTCGCTCGTCTTCTGTTCTCGGCTCCAGTTGTGAGGCTGAGATCTACGCCGGGGCCATGGCTGCACAGGAGCTTCGCTGGCTCACCTACCTGCTGACTGACCTCGGAGAGCCGCCTCGTTCTCCTCCAGTGCTCTACGTAGACAACAAGGCCATGCTGGCCTTGTGTCGAGAGCAGAGACTAGAGCACAGAACGAAGCACATTGCTCTTCGCTACTTCCTTGCTCGTGAGCTACAGCAGCGTGGTCAGCTGCGACTTGCGTACGTGGCCTCTAAGGCCAACACTGCTGATATCTTCACCAAGGCACTTGCACCTTGTGATCATCAGCGCTTCTGTACTCAGCTGGGTCTTGTACCTACCTTGCCTCACTTGCTCACCTCTTGACCTTGTTTGTACTGTTACATATATATATACTCCTGCTCTTGCTTGTCTAGCCTTATATATATATGTAATCCTGCATGTGAACTGGCCTTGTGGCCTTGAACTTGTGCTCGGAATGTGTGGTGACTTTGTGATCCACCCTGAGCTTGCTTTGCTTTGCTTGACTGGTCTTGTGACCCCTTGTTCTCCCCCACTTTGCCTATGGGGGTGTGTCAGAGTTATATGACATAGCTACTGTAGGCTATAGTGGGGTAGCACATATGGGGTACAGTTGCCTAGGGTTTGCCTTTTGTACCCAACTTTCACTTAGTCATTTCATTCCTGTTTTCTTGATTCACACCCACCACCGCCTGAGTCGTCTCTCACTGTCTCCTCTCACCCTATCACTAACTACTACTGTGCTGCTCGCCCTGTTCTCTCCCGTCTTCTCGCCACGCTTGTCACCGGCCCTCGTGCCTCTCCGTCGTGTGTCTCGGCTCTTACTGACGCTGTCGCTGACTCTGCTGCCACCAGCCACCTTGACTACGCTACGCGTGTGGTTGCTGCTACACCTCCCCGTCCTCTTTCCGTCGGGGGTGAGTTTGCCGTTGGCTGTGACGTCCTAGAGGACAGGCAGTTTGAGCTGGAGTTCTTGGCAGCAGCTTTTCCCTCTCTCTGTGCCATGTTGCTATCCACTGAGGGAGAGCCCGACGCCCTTGACATACCGATTTTGCACGTACCGTGAGGCAGTGTCAGGGGAGCGGGCCTCGCAGTGGAAAGCGGCCATAAACTTAGAGATGGCGTCTTGGAAATCTACAGTCGCTTACGTCGACACAGTTCCCCTCCCATGGCGAACGTTGTCGACGGTATGTGGCTCTTCAAGTGAAGCAGCCGACTGGATCACCGCATGTGTTCAAGGCGCCCTACGTGGCTAGGGGCTTCAGACATCGTGAGGGAGTTGACTTCTTCCAGACCTTCGCCCCGACCCCGAAGATGACTACTCTTCAGGTGTAACTTCACGTAGCAGCACAGCGAGACTACGAGCTGCACTCCCTTGACTTCTCTACCGCGTTTCTCCAGAGCCGCCTACACGAAGAGATCTGGCTGCGACGTCCTCCTGGCTTCACTGGCACTTTCCCATATGAGACCCAGTGGAGTCTGAAGCGACCAGTCTTCAGTCTCCGCCAGTCACCCCGTGAGTGGCACGACACTCTTTGCTCCACGCTTTGTGACCTTGGATTTCGTCCCTCTTCTGCCGACACGTCGCTGTTTGTTCGAGATGGTTCCACTCCTTTCTTTATAATTGTCTACGTCGACAAATTGGTCTTTGCTATAGTAGACAGGGCAGCTCTGGCTGAGGTGAAATCCGAACTGCTGAAGAGACACACGTGGACTGACCTCGGGGAACTGCAGCGCTACCTTGGCCTACATATCACCAACCTCAGAGCCGTTCACACCATCACCCTAACTGAGTCACACATGGTGCAGCAGATCTTTCAGCGTTTCGCTGGTTGATTTTCTTTCTCACCGAACTTGGTGAGCAGCCTCGCTCTGACAACAATGCCATGATTCTCTTGTGTCGAGAGCCTCGACTGGAGAGCTGAGTGAAACACATCGACGTCCGGTACTTTCTCCTCTGAGAGTTGCAGCAACGCAACCAGACACGCTTGGACTTTGTGGCCTCAGTGGCCAGCACAACAGACATATTCACCAAGGCACTTCCGTCTTGTGACCACCACAGGTTCTGTCTGCAGTTGGGCCCTCGACTGCTGTAGTCTTGCCTCTTGTTGCTTGCTCTGTTTGTCCTTGTACCTGTATATCTGTGAACCCCTGAACTGACCTTGTGATCGTTTGCTTCTCTTGACTGGTCTTGTGACCATTTGTTCCTCTTGCTTGCTTTGATGCCCCTCACTTAGCCTATGGGGGTGTGTCAAATGTTGATTATGCGTTTGCTATACTTCTACGCTACAGTGAGGTTCAAAGTAGAAGGTACATGTTTCTCACGACACTTTACTTGTACCGTACTACCCCTTCCCCTACTAGTCGACATCAATTCCGCTATACTCTGAGTCCGGCATTGCCGTGAGCTAAAGATCCCTCCCATCACTGCTATTGCAACCTTATCATGCGATATCTGGTCCAAGCTCGGAGGACCCATTGCATCGCAAACAAGGCAATTCGTCAGAAGTTTTGTCAGAGATCAGCAAGTCGAACTCATGCAACCATTTCGCATTGCAAATATTATGCGCCTTCGAAAACATTTCCTCTTCATTTTCCTCATCAGTCAGTAAATGGAGTGGTGGTGCAACTGTATCATCTGGCGTCGGCGGCGGAGGCGCGGGCTTACGGAGAGTCACTCTCCACCGAGAGTTGGACTACGCGGGAATGCACGGTGGTACGAGTGATGTTAGCGTTCCTTGTGTTCTTTAGCACTTGCGTGTTACGAGGCAAAACGGCAAGAGTTTCACTAGCAGAAGTTGAGAACAAGGATAGGAATTGCAATGGCAATAATGACTATATCACACGCAAAGCAACCTAACAGGCAGGCTGGTCGACCACCCGCGCAGCAAGTCAACGGCCTTCCAACACAGCTCGATGGCGGCTTTCCAGCGCTGCAAGTCGGCGACCTGCCAACGCTGCAACGCGGCAGCTTGGCACTGCTGCAGCAAAGTGGCCTACCAGCATTGCAACCGCTTGTGACGTGCGCACCCACTTCGGAGTATCTTCTGGGCAGGTGAACATTCCGAGCCACACGCAGGATTTCTTCTTGGGAAATCGGATCTCTCCCACTCACTTTCCGTAGTGCCGCTGCCACACCCCCCGGTACCTGTTTTTGTCATTTTTTGCTCGCTTGCCAGCTGGCAGAGTTGACAGAAAAGACGGGGCAGTGTTGGCACTTGTGGGTTGATTAGATGAAGCATCAACAGGTGCACCTCTGCTGCTCAATTCACCACGATCAGAGGGGATCGACATCGTTGCAGCAGCATCTTTGGGGGCAGTAGTAGGTGCGGCCAAATCTGCCTTTCTTGTCTCTGCTGTTTTCTACCTTGCTCTACCGCCTGAGCCTGCTCTACTGTACCTGCTACTATGCCCACTCCCACTGCTAACAACCCTTCCACCGCCTACCCCTCCACCATTACCCCCACCATTCGCACCACCATTCCTACCACCACTCCTTCCATCATCCCCTCCCCCATCATGCCCCCCACCACCACTCCCACTGCCACCGTCCCCCCTCATACCACCATCTCTCGCTGCCATTCCTCCTCCAAATGCCTCCCTTGCACCTGTTGCTCCCAGGACTACTCGCATTCGCAAGAATTTCCCTTTTCGCTCAAATTCCTTGTCGTCGTCGTCGTCGTCGTCCTCCTCCTCCTCCTCCTCCTCCTCCTCCTCCTCCTCCTCCTCCTCCTCCTCCTCCTCCTCCTCCTCCTCCTCCTCCTCCTCCTCCTCCTCCTCCTCTTCCTCGTCGTCCTCCTCCTTCTCCTCTTCCCTTCTCCCTCTCTTCTTGCCTCTCTCTTCCTTGCTTTTCCCCAAAACCCCTCCCACTTGGCCATCCACACTGAAACGCTCAGATCTCCCCTCTCCCCGGCTTACCGCATCACCCATCTGCTCCAATTTGACCTTCCTTGCCTTCTTGCCTCCCCATACTTCTTCTGTAAAACAAGCAGCGCCAGCAGCAGCAGCAGCAGCAGCAGCAGCAGCAGCAGCAGCAGCAGCAGCAGCAGCAGCAGCAGCAGCAGCAGCAGCAGCAGCAGCAGCAGCAGCAGCAGCAGCAGCAGCAGCAGGTGAATGTTGTGTGATGAGCCGATGGGTTGCTTGGTGATTCGCCAGAAATAAAACAGCGCTGCAGCCGTCGCCGCCGCCGCCGCCGCCACCACCAACAACATCAGCAAAAGGGACTGCAGCACCAACAGCAGAAGCACCACCGATGGCAGGAGCAGCAGGAGCAGCACCAGCAGCACCACCAGCAGAAGCACCACCGGTAGCAGGAGCAGCAGGAGAAGCAGGAGCAGCACCAGCAGCACCACCAGCAGAAGCAAGTGCAAGCTGTGCGTTGATAAGGTGAGGTGCTTGGTGATTGGCCAGAAAGAGACCAACACCGCCACCATCAGTACCGACAGCAGGAGCAGCAGCAGCACCACCATCAATAGCAGGAGCAACAGCAGCTGCACCAGCAATAGCAGCAGCAGAAGCAGAAGCACCACCACTACTACCACCAGCAGCAGCAGCAGGAGCAGGCTTGCACTCTGAGTTGAAACGATGCACTCTGAAGTGGTAAGGATCATCTCCCTACAGCCCTGCTCTCCTGTTCTTTTCACTTGTCCCTGCCATCTGCCTTCCACTCTGCACCACCGTTTCCACTCACGTCCATCTTCTCTTCCTCCCCTCCCTCATTTTTTCCTCCACCCTTGCTCCTCGCCCTTTTCCCCAGCTGCTTACTACCTTCCGCTCCCCTCCCCTCATCCTCACCATCTCTAACCGTATACATCTCCCCTTTGCTGCCTCCCTCCCCTCTCTCTGCTGCACTTCCCCCCTTAAACCCCACCTCATCCTTCCCCATTTCCTCCTTCTCCACTCCTTCCTCCCCCTTAAACCCCAACAAGTCATCTCCCGCCCCATTTTGCCAATTCTCATACTCATCCGGAAAATTCGTCAGCGCTCGGGGCCCACGAAGTTTCACAGCTGCCCGATCGTATGCTCGGGCAGCCTCTTCTGGGCAGGTGAACGTTCCGAGCCACACGCGGGATTTCTTCTTGGGGAATCGGATCTCCGCCACCCACTTCCCGCAGTGCCGCTGCCGCACACCACGGTACCTGTTTTTGTCCTTTTTTGCTCGCTTCCCGGCCGGCAGAGTGGACAGAAAAGATGGGACAGTGTTGGCACCTGTAGGTTCATTAGAGGAAGCATCAACAGGTGCACCTCTCCTGTGCGATTCACCGCCATCAGAGCGAATCGACGCCGTTGCAGCAGCATCTTTGGGAATAGTTGTAGGTGTTTCTCTATCTGCTTTACTTGTCTTTGCTGCTTTCCGCCTTGCTCTGCTGCTCGAGCCTGCTTTGCTGCACCCGCTACTATGCCCACTCCCACTGCTAACAACCCTGGCACCGCCTACCCCTCCACCATTACCCCCACCATTCGCACCACCATTCCCACCACCACTCCTACCATCATCCCCTCCCCCACCATGCCCCCCACCACCACTCCCACTGCCACCGCCCCCCCCCATACCACCATCTCTCGCTGCCATTCCTCCTCCAATTCCCTTCCTTGCACCTGTTTCCCCCAGGACAACTCGCATTGGCAGGAATTTTCCTTTTCGCTCAAATTCCTCCTCGTCCTCGTCCTCGTCCTCCTCCTCCTTCTCTTCCTTTCTCCCTCTCTTCTTACCTCTCTCCTCCTTGCTTTTTCCCCAAACCCCTCCCACTTGACCATCCAGCCTGAAACGCTCAGATCTCCCCTCTCCCCTGCTTACCGCATCTCCCATCTGCTCCAATTTGACCTGCCTTCCCTCCTTGCTTCCCCAAACTTCTTCTGTAGAACAAGCAGCGCCAGCAGCAGCAGCAGCAGCAGCAGCAGCAGCAGCAGCAGCAGCAGCAGCAGCAGCAGCAGCAGCAGCAGCAGCAGCAGCAGCAGCAGCAGCAGCAGCAGCAGCAGCAGCAGCAGCAGCAGCAGTACCAGCAGCAGCAGCAGCACCGGCACCACCACCACCGTCGCCAGCAGTACGATTAGCAGCAGCAGCGAGTGCATGTTGTGTGTTGCGCCGATGAGGTGCTTGGTGATTCGTCAGAAATGACATAGCACCGCCGCAGCCGCCACCAACAACATCAGCAAAAGGGGCTGCAGCACCAACAGCAGAAGCGCCACCGGTGGTAGGAGCAGCAGCAGCAGAAGCAAATGCAAGCTGTGCGTTGATAAGGTGAGGTGCAAGTTGGTGATTCGCCAGAAAGAGACCAACACCGCCACCATCACTACCGGCAGCAGGAGCACAAGCAGAAGCCCCACCAGAAGCAGAAGCAGCAGCAGCGGCTTGAGAGGAAATTTGTGGTGAGCTGATGCTGTTCAGGTGGGATGCTTGATAGGAGAGGAGTGCTGCAAGGAAGGGGCCAGCAGAAAGTGTAGATGCCATGACAGCAGCAGCAGAGGCAGAACGAGCAGGAGGAGGACCAATGGCAGGGGAAGGAGGAGAAGAAGGAGCAGGAAAAGGAACAGGGGAGCGAGGAGCAACCGGAGTGGTTGCAGCAGCAGCGGCTGCAAGAAGGGGGCTAGCAGCAACTGCTGATGCCATCACAGCAGCAGAGGCGGAGCGACCAGGAGGAGGGCCAATGGCAGGGGAAGGAGGGGGATAAGGAGGAGAGGAGCGCTGCAAAAAAGAGCTGTTCAGGTGGGATGCTTGACGGGAGAGGAGTGCCGCAAGGAGGGGGCTAGCAGCAACTGCTGATGCCATCGCAGCAGCAGAGGCAGAGTGATCAGGAGGAGGGCCAAGGGCAGGGGAAGGAGCAGGGGAAGGAAGAAACGGAGGAGCAACTGGATTGGTTGCTACAGCAGCAGATGCTACAGCTGCATTAGTGGGAGAAAGCGCACCAGCGTTAAGAGCAGCAGCAAGAGAGGAAGCGGCAGAGGCAGGACCACCAGAAGCAGAAAAAGCAGCCGTGGGAACAGCAAAAGGAGTGAAAGCGGCAGCAGAGGGAGCAGCGACAGGAGTAGGTGCCCCTAAAGCAACTACTGAGGGCAGATGAACATGGGAGTACGAAGATGAATAGGAAGGTGAGGTCATGAGCGCATGAGCATGCATGGAAGTAGCAGGAGGGCCGCCTGATCGCATGCGGAAATGGGCTGCTCCGGTCCTGGTTTCACTTCTCGCTACCCTTGCTGCTGTCTCAACTGAACCACCGTCTATTCCTTCTCTTAATCCTCCTCTCAATCCTATTTCTCCTTCTCCTCCCCCTCTTCCTCCTCCTCCTCCTCCTCCTCCTCCTCCTCCTCCTCCTCCTCCTCCTCCTCCTCCTCCTCCTCCTCCTCCTCCTCCTCCTCCTCCTCCTCCTCCTCCTCCACTTCCCCACTCACCACCTCCTCCTCCCTTCACCCCTTCTCCTCGTCCTCCCCATCGTCCTGACTCCCCCATGTGGCCTTCCTCTCTTCCTACCGCATCAAACCGCACAAGGCCCATCTGCATCTCACGTGTCCCAACCTCAGCCCTAATAGCCCCCATCTGAGAATTCCCCGCATTTTTATCACCCTCTGAGTTTTTAGCCGCCTCAAAACTAGCTGCCGCACTTACTCTCATAAGATGAATTTCCGCCTGTTTGTCAGCCGTAGAGGTATAACGAGCTGCAGGTGAGGCTGTAGAGGCAGGAGAAACAGCACCACGGGCAGCAGTAACAGCAGTGCCATCAGGAGCAGGGAAAGCAGCATCAGCAGCAGTAGCAGCAGCGGGAGGAGCAGGAGACAGGGACAGGGACAGGGACAAGGAGAGGTCAAGATTTTCCTGGTGTAGGCTCGTGCTTTCATGCTTGAGCGACCCATTTTCCACACCGCTACATGCATCTCTCCTGCTTCCCAGGGCAGGTCCCGCTGCTGCATGAGGGGTGGCCTCCTCTCCGAATGCTGCAACAGTAGCTAAGCTTGTGCTTGAGTTTGTATTCTGAACCCTTGCAGTGCTGACAGATCTGTCAGTTGGAGAAACAGAGGGCTGGGAGTTGAGGACATCTGAGACGCTGATACCATTGCTTCCACCTTCGGTTGCTCGAATTCTTGCCGATCCTGCCCCACCTTCCCGCAGATCTGCTGAAAATTTCATTTCTCCGGTTCTTTCCACTCCTCCTGCTCCTCCTATTCCTCCTTTCCCTCCTCTCCATCCTCCAACATCCCTTTCACAGCCACTTCCGCTTACCGTATTTCCCTCAATCGCACCCACCCCTCTCAGCAACCCACCAGCTGACTCCTCTCCGCCTTCTGCTCCTGTTCCACTCCCTCGACGCCCCCTTATATTTAGAAAGGCAGCCAGATTTGGCAAAGAAGGTGCCGCTACCCCGTCTGTACCTGGCCCAGTCATCCCTTTGCTCATAAGCTGTGATCCCGGAGGAGGAACGGCAAGTAAAGCTGCTGCTCCTGCACCAGAGCATGCTGCACTTGCAGGAACTCCCCGATGCACATCTATATTTGGCAAAATTGCTACATTTGGCAATCCTGTCCCCCTTCGGGCTTCTGAAGGTGCTCCAGCGGTCATGCTTAAAATAGCAGCTATGATCCTTTGCTGGTGTAGCTCCTGCTGTTGCTGTTGTTGCCGCCATTCCTGCTGCTGCTGCTGTTGCTGATTGAGATGATGATGATTATGTTTTTGTTGCTGCTGCTGTTGATTTCGTTGCTGTTCTTGCTCCCACTGCTGATGCCGTTCTTTCCCCTGATGTTGCTTCTGCTGCCTCTCCTGTTGCTCCTGCTGTTGTTTCTGCTGCTGCCACTCCTGTTGCTGCCGCTGCTGCTGCTGCTGCTGCAGTTGATGTTGTTGCTGTTGTTGCTCCTGCTGCTGCTGCTGCATCTGGTGTTGCTGTTCCTGCTGCTGGTGCTGATGTTGCTCCTGATGCTCCTTCTTCTCCCATCCCTGTTGCTCCTGCTTTTGTTTCTGCTGCCTCTCTTGACGTAGCTGCTGCTGCTGCTGCTGCTGCTGCTGTTGCAGCGGCTGCTGCATCAAACGCTGCAGCTGCATCTGCCACGAAACCAGAGCAGAAGACCCCACATCCAATCCAGACGGTGCAGCGAAACCTGCATGAAACGTTGGCGATAGCGACTGGGCGTGAAAAGACTGGGAAAGCAGCAGTGATGAGGCAGACACAGGCGAGGAAGCAGCAGAGGAAGCAGCAGAGGAAGCAGCAGAGGAAGCAGCAGAGGAAGCAGCAGCAAGGGGCTGGCCAGGAACTTGCTGCATGGATGCGAACGGTCGGGGAAGAGAGGCCCCGGTGGGTGCTGAAAAGAGTCCATGAGATGAGGTACTCAGTGGGGATAAGACAGGCGCTGGGCGTGCGTCCACAGGGCCAGTTATCCCTTGCTGTGTATGTCGCGGTGCCAACATTCCCGGGGAGATTTGAGGTGCAGAAGCTCGCTGAGACGGCGTAGGCCGTGGGGATGAATCAGGGCGTGCAGCAGCAGATGGGGCGATTGTTGCAGACTGTTGTGCTGCTGGCCTTTCAATAAGCTCGTGTTGCTGCTGTTGTAGTTTTTGCTGCTGCTGCTGCTGCTGCTGCTGCTGCTGCTGCTGCTGCTGCTGCTGCTGCTGCTGCTGCTGCTGCTGCTGCTGCTGCTGCTGCTGCTGCTGCTGCCGCTGGAGAAATCCTAAAAGCTGGACCATAGCCTCTTGTGTCATGCTCACACTCGCTCCGTGAGACCCACCCCTCCTCTCACCATCAGATTCACCTACTCTGGGACCAGCCAAGGGCGCAGTAGTAGCGCCACTGATCTCAGCCGTTGCGGCAACCATGCCTCCAGGCCCTCTCCCTCTATCAGAGTCCTTACCAGCGACAGATCCAAACCCTTCTTGCGGCACTTCCACGGAAGAAACGTTTCCAACCAGACGATCGTGCCGCCCAATCCTGAAGTGATTTGTCTTGTGCGGTCAGCTGCTGGGTTCAGAGACCCCAAGAAGGCCGAGAGCACAGCAGGGCTGCTGAAGGAAACGCCAACCGGAGTGGTGGAGAGCGGTGGACTAGTACTGGAGATTCTCGGGTGTGCCGGGGTTGCGATACGAGTGGTTCGTGTGGGATCGCTGTATGGATTATGATGTGCAACAGCCATGGCGCTAAGGGAAGGACGGTCTTCAGGCAAGGAAGCCATTGGTGTGAGAGAGGGGTGAGAGGAGGAGGCCATACTACCAGTGCTAATGAGGACCCAGTGGGGCCCACTCCACTCAAGAAGGCGAGGAGACAGAGAGCATCCAGGCGAGGAGACAACTCAAACGGGCTTGTTTGCAAGTCGACTCAAGAACAATATGTGCGGTAAAGGAAGCGGGGAATGGCAAGGGTGCTGCGACAGCTTTTGGCTTTTATAGCTTGCCTATGAGACAGCATGTGGTCACCGTCGGATGGTCGTCTAGACAGACTCAACGATCTGTTGTGTGGCAGTAGCAAAGTCACCTGACGCCTGTGCCAGTAGTGACTCAGAAATCATTATCTGACAGAGACAGAGTCACTGCAGGCTCCTGGTAGTTAGAGATGCTGGGTCCAGTGAGATGAGCTTCGGAAACTACTGAAAGGTTGAGTCTCCCCCGCATTAGGAGATCTGAGGCGCCGTCTTGCCAACCTGAAGCACGTGAAAGGAGATGTCAAGAAGGGAAAAGGAGGTTCAATTTTTATAGTACTGCCGTCTTGTGCCGCTGCGGAAGAATGGGGTTTCAATACGTATTCTATATGTTACCACGTGACGTGCAGATATTTTTTTAATGACAAGAGCACTGGTACTTAGGCTAGAGCTAGCAGTACTGCTGGAAAGAACAGATCTGCACCATTTGCAAGTCCTGGATATGTAATAGCGTCACGGTGACATGATGAAATTGACACACTCGAGAGTAAGAAACGCGATTGTTTAGTAGTGCTGTTTTTCTGGTCTGACCTGTGAACGGCAATTTCTGAAGGAAGATCCACCTTCAGCTGTTAGTCACTTTCCTCCGAATTTTTCAGGCCTCCTTTGTAACCACGCGTCTGCTGACTTGCTCGAATCACACGAAGCTCATCCATCCAAAAAAAAGTTTTGCGCGACATCAAAGCTTCCCCCTGGATTTCCCTCTATAGGAACACGTTCACTGATGACACAAAATCCGATTGTTTTAACTCGCTCAGCTCAGGTTGGGCGGTACAAATTTCTGCATGAAGCATCTGGTGGGTCGCAATCACCTGTTAATCTCGAACTCAAAAAGATTCAACGGGATTGATCGATTCCGCAAAGAATCCTCGTGGGCCAGTCTGCGAGTCGAAAACCCTCAGAATTGCCTCTGGAACAATATCGGAAACAAGCATGTCATAGTGCGTCAGGAAATGACATGCCACGGCAGCAAGTAAAGGCGGTGACTGCTTATATTCAGGATATATCACGACAAGCCATGGCGTGCACGCCAAAGACAGCTGTTGGATTTTCTGGATTGGCAAAATCCATACTAGCATTACTGGAGGGGTTGGTGTTTTGAGATGGAAAGAATTGGTGAGCGACAAGCTAGGGTTGCAACTCAGTTTACAGCAGACAGCCCAGCTGAGAGATGAGTGGCAAAGATGATCGCTCTTCCCCCACCACCACCACCGTCCGAGGCGGGAACGATTCGTGAACGAGACACAACGTAACTGCAGCAGGTGGTCGTCCACGTCGTTAGTGTGCTTGAAGCGAATCGAAGGGTGGGCGGTAACAGCAAACAGGCTCTCGACTCCGTTCACTGCAGCAAGGAAGGGGAAGGCAACGTTCGTTCACTTCGACTTCGACTTAGCAATACAGTACAGTACTTAACAAGGCTTTCGTCTACAGTAGCTGACGAAAATGGTGACGATAATCCTGGAACTGAATGCGGTCTAATTGGACTTGTCATGTCAAATAAAATTAAGCGTATGGTTTAGTGCCTACGTTTAGATCCGTGCAGCACTTGAAGTAGCCCCATGAAAACATTATGCCCTTGTATGAGCATGAGAGGCAGGGTAGTTGTAAACCAATTCTTTCGTAAATTTGCTGTGTTGATCCACCAGAGGTTCGAGGTGTCGGGAGTCTGGACGGGACAGCAACATGTGACTCCATTTCGTCAACGGACCACCCAAAAGGCCACTTTCCATTCATCGCATTGGGCTGACAACGATATCCTAGCGGGCGGCAGGTTTCAAAGTTGCCATAATGAAAATGGGGATGGCAGTTATTAATTGCCATCATGAACACTCTTACACCCTAAAACCTTGATAGTTTGAGGTTTGACACTCACACTAGGTGGACCCCTTTTCAACACACCAAGGAGGAACGGCCCAAAGTGCTAGAGTGCTCCTTCGTGTCGACCAGTGCTAGAGTGCTCGTGGGCAGTTGCTTGTGGACGTCGACCAGTGTTTTGTATATTGGGCCTATATTGGGCCTTGTGTTTAATACAGAACACAACCCTTCTTGACCGTGAGAAAGTCCATCAAAAGGGTTCGTAGGGGCACGAAAAGAGGGCCCGAAGAATCTTGTGGCAGGACCCACTTTGGACTGTGCCCTGCAGTAGATATAGATTAAAGCAAGGGTGCACATTCCTAGGGGTGATTTTTGGGTGTATTGGTTTGGTACACCCCTTAGGGTGCACGAATGGTTGACGAAGAATCCAACCATTTGAAACACTGGAGCGAGGGTTGAAGAATGTGCTGGCGAACTAAAATCGAATTCGTCCGCGAATGGGTTGGAGGAACAGACGACAGAAGGGGAGGCAAGTGATAAACCTTTGCCACCACCCCCCCCAAAGTGCACCCTTGCTTTAAACGAAACTGGTTGACAATCCCAAAACTTTCACCAGATTTAAAAATTTACATCCTTAGTTTTTACGTCCTGGTAGAAGTGTACACTGAATCCAGCACAGATGTTTGGCCTAAATACGCCTTGCTAAATGTTTAGCACTGGTAGCACTTGGTCTATCAATTGACAACCAGAAGGGGTCAGTCACACGAAATTCGCACTTTGTAGTCCGAGTGAGTGGGCAGGTTACCCCTGACATTCTTGATGCTAGCCGTAGCCCGCGAGGGTTGCGGGTTTCCCCTGAGATCGCCTAAAAATGCTTTACGCTACCTTCAGAAAACGATTTACCGAAAAAATCTATACCAGGTTGCGAAAATATCGCGAAGTCAGTGATTGCAAGAGAAAATCTTGGAATGCCATTCCCGTCCAAGTGCATCTGCGACTGTAGATGTCTCACTTGCAATTCTTGCAGGTCCCAGCTGCTGGAGGTCGGTGTTGGAGTTTGCGATTACGATAGAATCTGGGCAGGCTGAGCGTGGAATGCAGTGTACTCAGAGCCACTTCGTTGGTACACCCAATGACAATGCACTTGGCTATCCAAACATCGTTACATATTCAAACTGGTGTTATGAGCAGGATTCTCGCCAGACCCAGATCATGTAGCACCATCTTTGTTTACTAAGTTTGTCTTAACTAAAATATGAAAGACACTGTCTACTTTCAGTTTGAACTCGCGGCACTAGATAGAGATGAACTTGTTTTTCCACCCACGGAATATTCTCTACTTTAACCCTAAGTTTCCGACAACGAAACGTGGGTTTCGGACACCCTCGCTTCATCGAGTCCGTAAGAAAACGAGAAAGGTTTTCGCAAACCATCAACCTGGCAACAGAATAAAGAGCCGCCCACACTTAACAAGGTGGAGAAAAGTCCACTTTAACCTCTATATGTGTGGTTCTGGTATCATTAGCACCGTCAAATGCAACTAGGTAACAGTGCAACCTTCCTAGCCTCGAACAATTTCACTGCGAACCTACACGGGAAGCTGCCACGGAGAAACCAACGCACCGGAAATCTGGAGCTATCATTGCGGATGTTTTCCAGACGCGACAACTTCCCGGCCTTCAGATGATATTTTCGCCCTTAATAAAAACTGCCTCGCTTTTACTTACGTGACGCACAAAGAGTAAGAACGCTCAAAACTAGCAACTATTATACAGCCTAGTGAAGGAAACTACTTTCCTTACTTCACGTCACATCACATGCGGGGTAGAGTACTATTCCCGCCACTGTACACCCAAAAGCATTCCATTACCACCTCGCGACAATCGTCTTGATAGTGTTCACGCCATCAAGACCACCGCGCCCAAACTAACAGGGCTTATCTTTGGATTTTGGGTTCTCTAATTAGGAGTGTAGGCTATTTATACAACCTGATTATCAGCCTCAGGCTTGACGCTTACTTTTACCCGTCGATGTAACTCTGCATTTTGAATTTTACCCTGAGGCATCAGCGTAGTTTTTTTCTTTTCTTTTCTTTTCTTTTCTTTTCTTTTCTTTTCTTTTCTTTTCTTTTACCCAGATGAGTCTCAATTGTTCTCTTACCTACATCAATGAACGTAAGCAGATTTTATATTTAGATTAAAAAATATTCACTCATCATCAGACAAATCACAATGAGGTTCTGCATCGGTATAATTATCCGAGCAGTCCTGCACTTCCGCCTTCCCTTTTCCCTCGCACGGTCTGACTTGGGCATGTGTTCTCGTTGGTTTTTTTTTTTTTTTTTTTCCTTTTTTTTTTTTTTTTTTTCTTTTTCTTGCTTCCACCAGATCTCCATGACCTTAGGCCACTTGTACTCGTAGTCCAGCATATTGAGAGTCATCATCTCATTTATACAGGCAC